GATGATTATTGTTGTGAGCTTAACCTAACATGTTTTTCCTTGTGAATTGGGACTTCCATGACCATACATTGTATGCGAGCAGATCAGGAGTAAGTGGTGTTGTGACGGGTTAGCAGACTCTGGCGAGACTCAGTATAGGAGAGCTAAGGCTTTTGTTGTGAAAATTTCAGTTGTAGACCGTCAATCATTTTGTATAGAATAGCACATTAAGTTATCAGTTATATATATTTATATGGTACATTACTTGTTATTTCCTAATATGTGGCGAGTCACGGCTGTGATCTCCTTGGGTTTCAGAACATTGCTAAGACAAAACGAGTCACGGGAGTGACTGATGAGTCATAGACGTGACCAGTGAGTCACGGGCGTGACTGACCCTGTTTGATGATTTTCTTCAAGAGTTCTTTTTTTTAAAGGCTAATATGTATATTAAAATTGTTTGAGTTGTAAATTCAAGTTGTTTATATGTTGTAAGTTGATTTTTAGTTATTTTAAAGTTGTTTATTGAAGTTGATTATAAGTTGTAAAGTTATATTGGGATGTATGTGGAAAAGTTGCTATGTTGTTAAAGTTGTATAGTTGTATAGAAGTTGCTAAGATGTAGTGTTATATAAGTTGTTTATGTTGTAAAGTTGAAAAGTAGTTTGTTGTTGTACAATGGATATTAATATTGTGATGACTATAGTTGCTCAAGTTGTTTATTCAAGTTGTATAAAGATGTTTATAGTTGTGAAGTTATACCAAGATGACTATTGTTGTAAAGTTGGGGACATATGGCTAAGATATATATATGTCCTATATTGAGATACATAGTACTAAGGTGATAAGTTGAAAGTTATTTTTAAAGTTGAATCCCTTAGTACTGTGTGGACGAAATGGAAGTAGTCGATCTATGACATGGTTGAATGACCAATTTGAGTAAGGTATCTAGTTAGAGATGTAGTCTTTGACTAAATACTGGAGGGTGCATGGTACTTGGAGGGCAATGGGTAGGCTAACTCCATATGTGGATTGGTGATGCAAGCCAAGGTCGTGGTAGGCCCGCATCCAAACCCTTATGTCCTAATAGTAGTACTAGACCTCCAAGTTTAAGTGGCACACCTGAGTAATCGCCTATTGTTGTCTATATTTGGTTCTCTTCTGAGTTCCTAATGATACCTATACCTGTCCTTGTTGAGATAGGTCAAACGTTGGATTCGGTAGGGTTTATGCCACCTAGACTACTCAACCTCAGTTGTTGAAGATCTCCTAGTTGTATATTCATGACAATGCATTAGTTGTTTAAAACAAATTTCTTTACCTGTACAAAATTTTGTTTATGGATTTTTGGACGCCTTGCGGACTGCGACAAACAAAACAGGACGCCCGTGCGCAGCCGCCCGTGCGTAGCCGTCCGTGCGTCGACGGACTTCACCCACGTTTGCCAACACCTAACAAAGACAATGACAGCACCTCCACCTGCTACCACCTCACTTACGTCATAAACCGAACCCTACACAATACGAAAAAACACCAAACTTCGAAGGACTACTCTGCAATTTGAAAATCTTACTCTAAATTTCAATCACAACCGTTAATTTTTTTAAATGTTATATCTATGGTCAGTAATCATTCACTATTCATTCACCACCCATAGACCATGTGAAAGTGGTCTCTCAGAGAATTCACCCTAGACAAAATATGTTAATGTGCAGTGACTTTTCAACCTTGATAGAGAAAAGTAAATATGTTGGTACAAAAAGGCTTTTCCATCTTTATGATAGAGAAAAGTAAATATATTGATACAAAAAGACTTTTCTATCTTTATGATAGAGAAAAGTAAATATGTTAGTACAAAAAGGTTTTTCCATCTTTATGAAAGTAAATAAATATGTTGGTACAAGCAACTTTCCCACCTTGATGCAAAATGATGAATATGTCAGTACAAGGCCATGTTAAAAAAAAAATTGATGTGTGGGTGCAAATGTGTTATGTATGATGAATTCTTCACCTTGATCTAAAATGTGAAAATGTTAGTACAAGTTATGACAAAATGTACGACTCTGATATGTTTAGATTTATTGTTGATTCGTCAAAATAGATTGGATTGAGGTAATTCGTTAAATAAAAATGGACTAAATGTCTTGTTTCACCCCCAGATTATATTATATTTTTTATTTTATTCATTATATTTTTTGAGATAATTATTTTATTATTTTAACATAATACCGATAAAAAAACTTGATATTCATAAATGATAGGGCATTTTTATTTTACTCTAAACTTTATTAAAAATACTTTAAGGTATATATAAGATTAATAATAAAATAGAAAAATTAACAATTGAAATAAAAAATTGTAATTAAAATAATTTATCTATGTATAAAAAATCACAAGAGTTTAAAATTAATTAAAAGTTTATAAAATTGAGCTTTTCTGACAAAAAATAAATTTAAATTTAAAATATCATATAAATATGTTTATTTATGTCATTTTATATTTATTAAATTAAATACTTCAATGAATAAATATTTTACCAAAAAATTATAATTCAATAAACTAACTAAACAACTTTTGGTCACTGTAACTATTAACTTTCTGCTTCCGGTTATTTTTTCAGCTTCTAACTTGTTTTTCAAATTTTTAACTATCTTTTCAATATTCTTACAATTTTTTCTAATAAGAATAATATGAGTAAAGTTTTAAGAAAACTACAATTTAAGTGAATTAAAATATTAATTAATATTTTAATTTCAACAACTAGAAGCAGATAAATCAGGGATTCAGGTCATACATGTTATGCACGAGTGTGAACACGAGATAATCTAAATTTTCATTTACTCATATCAGCAACATGCACTATAATATGTTTGAGACATATAAGTCAATTCATATTTTAAATTTAACCATAAACGTATTTAACATGTATTAAATTTCACTAATATAATTAACAATATGACGCATAACTATTATAAGGATTAAAATAAAAATATACATGAAAATTTAGATTTGATATCGTTATTGTTGATGTATTTTTTGTTTTTAATGATAAAAAACAATTAACATGCACCAAAAGCTGTTATATATTCCCAGAAGTCTGATCCACACATGTAAGATCGAGTTGTATCATGGTGTTAATTTATGTTCATACTTGATTATTTAGCTTATTTTGAAAGAATGAAAAATTATTTTTCCAAATTTTGAGAAAAATATTTTTTTTTAAAGTAAATTCATTATCAGACAAACACTAATTTGGTAGTCATCATATCATTATCAAATGAAAAATTATGAATTCATCTGGCAGACAACTTATTTTGTCTTTTATCTCATTGTTTTGAAGCCATCAAACTTAGTTTTAATTATATTTGTGTTCACATTTTTTTTTAGAATTTTAGTTATTTTAGTTGAATCCAATAAATTTATAATTTTAAGTTCCTATATTCACTATTTGATAATTTCTTCTATATATTATATGTCGGCTATTTTATATTAGAACATTTTCTTTAAAAAGATGTTTTAGATCTACTGGTCGTGAATAAGAAGATTACACAAATTGTCAATTAATTGCGATGGGAAATTTTGGATAATTAGTTGTTAAATATGCCAAAACATCACTCATTTTGCACTGTTGAGAACACGTCAAACCAATAAACGTGTGAAAGAGACTGTGTTTTTTACTTTTTAGTCTTTCGTGATTGATATTAGAGACCGATCCAAAAAATTTATTTTTTTCCATCGTTATTTTGCCTCTGTGATTGTCTGGTATAATTTGTCTTTTTTTATTATTTCATAATTCATTCCAAGCTGAATGTGATCTTTGTATTTTTTTAAATATTATTATTCATAATCTATTATTAATGGTTGATGAAAACAAAAAATTATGAGCATAAAATATTAAATAAAAAGTATTACTCTAATTTTGAAAAAAAAATTAATGTAAAATTAACAACATTAATGAGTAATTTTAAATTTAAATAATAAAAAATTAATATTTAATATAATATTAAGTCTTTTTATTTTTTTTATTTTAGGCTTAAATTTTTTTTACAGGATCCTAATAATATACGCCGAGTATTCGATATTTCAAAATATGCAATAATAATGCATTTTTTTTTCTTAGATAGAAACTGTACGTCTAAAATAACATATCTATATAATTAACATAATAAGTGATGATAGAAACTATTTTAAAAATTTAGTGAAGATTAAAAATTAAAAAAAAAAAGCAAATTCAACTAATAGCATTTTACAACTAACCCTAATTTAATTTCAATTCATCAATTAAAATGACGTGCCATTGATTGATGGATATATATACACATATAATATAAATTTATATGCTGTTGGTTTTGGACATTAGAGATGATTCCTCTCGATTATATTTGTTTGCAATTTATATATATATATATTATATTTTATATATTATTTTAATAAATTGTTTTAAATTTAATTATATATTTTATAATTTTTTATTAAATAAATGAAATTCAATGAACTAAAAATATTTTAACATATATTTTAAATATTCTTTAGTAATATTGAGTTAAATATATATTCTAATTTATATATTTTAATATAATATACATTATTTTATTAGTAAATATTATTAATTGTTAGTTGTTAATGAGAGAATTCAAACTTATCCTTTTTATTTATGAGGTATTATTTAAGTTAAACAAATTAAACTATATTTTAAAATATAAAGAATGGAGAGTATAATACTCTTGTATATTGTAAAAGAGTATCGTAATTTATAATACTCTTGTTAATGAGAGAATTTAAACTTACCCTTTTTAATTTAGTGCTTTATTATTAGTGATTCTATTGAGTTGCCTTGTGATTCACAGTATTCACAATGTTCAAATGGTGTTTGTTTTTGGACAGTTTTGTGGATATGAAATATCCACGTTAGTCGACGGCATTGAATTGGCGGCTTGTGTATGGTATTTCTACTTGTGGCTATAAAGTTGGCTCTTAAATCTAAAGTGAATCGTATTCAATTTTTACGATCCTAACAGAACACGTACAGGAGGAGAACACGTGGTTGAAAATGGCCTTGGCCAAAGAAATTATGGGACAGTGTATGGTGGAAGCATTTTGCTCAAATGTTTCAAGATTGTCTTTGCAACCTAAACGTTGGTGCATTAAGAGGCATGGAGCAGTTACCATGACATACTCGGAGCTTAAGACCATGTTGCAACAAGAAGCACCCTTTAATTTTATCAAGGATGACTCGTCCAAGAGAGACCTTGCCCTCAATCCTGTCACTTTGACCATTACGGCAACTGTAACCATAAAAAATAGTAAGATCACTTATACGGAGAAGATGGCCATGATGCTTCCACAATTTGATGTTTTCAACAATGCCCTTCGTGAAAGAGGAATTGTCATACAGCTAGTTAGCACTCAAGTTCAACCCGGTAACCACTTTCTTTCTTGCACGTAACTTTTATTAAGTATTACACCGCTCAATAATCTTATATTAAATGTGAATTTTATAAATCTAATCATTAAATTGAAAGTTTTTTACTCTTAAATTATATATACAAAATTTTATTAATCTAAGATAATTTAATAATTTGTTCTTATAAAATAAAATTGACATAATATATTTATTTTAAAATATATTAAAATATGAACACTTTGATTATTTTCAAAATTGTTGTTCAATTTTAACAAATTTTGATATAAAGTAATATAAATTTTCAATATAACAGTTAGATTTACAAAATTCACATTTAATATAAAATACATACTAATAATTAAAGTCGTGCACAAACTTTATCGTACATAATTTTTAATCTCACAAGGGTGTCCTTGAGAAAATTCTATTTTTTTTTCTTCATAAAAATAATTGAAAGAGAGGAAAACAATCTTCCCAAACACGCTATAAGTTCTTAAATTTTTAAGTTTAATTTATTCTTACAAATCAATTAATAAGATGATCACGAGTATCTAAGTTTTATAACCTTTTAATTTATCAACCATTTATAATTAATGTGAATTTTTTTTTCTTTCTAATACACCCATCATATATAATACTGAAATTGGGGCACGAATATATAACATATAGGTAGCATAGGTGTTCAAAACAAAAATACTAAATTGGACTGGTTATGAATATTGAACTATAAATTAATTGAACTTTTTTTCCAAAAGAAAATTAAATTAAATTAAACTATAAAAACTGAAATATGTCTATAAAGCGGTAAAAATTCTCCTGTTTTTATTTTTTCTTATATTAATATTAAAAAAATAGTTGGGTTGAATTCAAATCAAAATATAGTTCAATTCAAATTTGAGAAAACATTCGTTGGATTAATAAAGTAGTTTAGTTTTGTCTGAACTATTTTTTTAGTTTAATTTGATTTAGACGAATTATTTTTGTAATTTAATTCAATTCTGCTACAGTTTAATTAGTTCAATTCAGCATTTTTTAACATCCCTATTGGACAGGTGAACCAAGAACAAAGTGCATGAACAACCATGTTATTTGGCACCTTGAGAGAGAGACATAAATTAAGAAGTATAGATATGACGTGTAATATATGATTTGATATGGAAAGAGAGACGCAGAAAAAAAGTATTGAATAGAAAAAATTCTTATATAGTACATGATCACTAAATATTTATGATACGAACCAATGATCATCATATAACTTTTTTATAAAAATAAATCAATTTAAGAAAACTTAATAACATTTAATTACTTAATATGTAAAGATTAATTAGAAAACGTGTGATTTAGAAATACTTAATAATTTTGTCCATATATCATTACATGTGACCTAATAAGAGATTTGAGGTAAATTTTGAGTACATGATACATTTTAGGCCTAACTTATATCTATAAAATCAATTTCAAAGGTTAGAAGTGCTTGCATGCTTATTTAGATAAGTTTCTCTAAAAATAATTTTTAAGAGAGACAAATAAAAAGAAAAACATAAATGAGATTCTATATAAAATAAAATAACTTATGTATAAGTTAAAAAAAAATATTTTAGAGAAATTAAAGAAAAAATTTCTAGAAATTATCATATGCATTAGTTAATTTTAACTTGCGAAAAAAATTCATTTCATTTTTCTTTCTTATAAACTTGTGGAAAAATTTATACCAACGTACCTTAAGTTTTATAAGCTTCTATGATACACTATTTTTAGTTAATGAATTGGGATTTTTTCTCGATTGACATTAATTGTAAAAGGAGGATAAATTTTTCATTTTTTACTAAAATTTATTTATATTTGTATCTTACTAGAGCCACCTTAGTAATAAAAGTTAAAGCAGATGTACAAGTATTTAAATTTTAATCTTTATTGTCGTTACTTTTAACACGTTGAAAACCATTTTACTTAACAAAACAATTCAATATAATGTTGTCAGATTAGCTCAGTTAATCACTGTTCTCTCCTTGTTATATAGTTTTCAATTAATTATTAGCATTTGATTTATTTGAGTGCCTTATGAAATTGAAGGAACAATGGAGCCAAAGCTAAGTAACCATGTTGTGTTGGACTGGTTGAAACACTTCAAGGTTGAGGATGAGAGGTCCACATATAAGGTAGAATTTGAGATAGATTCAAATTTTGGGTTACCAGGAGCAGTTACTGTGAGTCAATGATGTCGGTGTTCACCAGCTTGTCCATCACTGGTATGCGATTCAACAAATCTTGTGTGTTTCCTAAAGCCAAATTCTTTAACTTATCCAATACATGGAATACGATATATAAGCTGTGTTTGCTAAACAGGTTGAGGACCCACGCATGCATGGAACCATTCATCATTGCATCTCACCGTCAATTGAGTATTATGCACCCTATTTTCAAACTTCTAAAGCCTCATTTGAAACACACATTGCAAATAAATGCATTGGCTCGTGAGGCTCTCATCAATGAAGGTGGCATCATTGAATCAGATTTTTCTCCCGGCAGATACAACATTGAGATACTCTCAGCTGCCTATAGAGATTGGTGGCGTTTTGACATGGAGGCCCTTCCTGCTG